TTTTTTTTTTTCATTTTTCTCTCTTTTTTTTTCAATTCTCTTATATACATGTGTTCTTGGGTTTGCTGCTGACAAGCATTTCAGGTGCTCTTGTGGTTTGTTATGATTTGGTATTCATAAGATTTTAGCTTATGTTGCTCTGGAAAAGAATTGAAGCATTTAGTTCGTTTATGCTCTCAAGTTAAAGCCTATACCCAAGGTTTTAAATAGCGGGTTAAAACGTTTATGGCATTGTAGCTATAGCGGAGCTATAGCGGAGATTTAGCGGGATTTAGCGGCTAAATTGCGAATGAATACAAATAGCAGCACGCTGCCAAAAAAAGCTATTTCTCAAATAGCGGCAACTTTAGCGAGCTATTTATTTCCTTGCCTATACCTATAAATATATATATTCTGTGCCTACATATTTTCAATTCATTCATGTAAAGAATTATTAATAAACTCCATGTCTATTTGTTAAGTTGCTTGTTGGTTTTGTATAGATTGCATGTGCATTTGTTAAGTGGCCTACTTAATGTATATATGCTTTTCCTTTTGGTTTAGTAAAAAACATGACATATTACACTCATTTATGTAGTTGTATCTTATAAGCAACAGTTTAACATATGATACTTATGTAGGTGAGGATGTATTGAAAGGATTTTGGGTTATACCAGCTAGCATAAAAAAGAAAAAAAAAAAGATCGTTGTTTGCTATCAGGTTAGAGTTTTATTCCTATTAACCATCTTTTCGGTTATATTTATTCAGTTGTTCATCACCTCTTGTGTGTGCTTAACAATATATTGGTGGCTATTTGTTATGAAAAATCAATTTATTTATTTTGTCAGTTGATTTTCTCTCAATTCTTTATTTGTTTTTTATGTTTTTCTGCATGCTTTTCGTACATAATGAACTAATATTTGTGCATCATTATTCTGCATAATAAGTAATAGTTTTTCTCGCTCTTTTGTGCGTGTGCTTCTGTTCAATTTGTTCTTCCTTACATGGATGCATCTATAATTTTTTTTGTGTGTGTGTGTGTGTTTGTGTAGGAAAATGCTATTTGTACCGCAAGGGTTGTACCGCATGGTGTACCCTTCATTGAAAACGTATTCTGAGAATACGTTTTTCAAATAATTTAATTGAAAAACGTATTCTGAGAATACGTTTTTCAACCAAAGTGTAAACCCTGCGGTTCAAGCTGCGGTACGTGTAGCATTGTCCGTTTGTGTATATACATAAAAGAAACTTTTGGAGGTTACTTCTAACTTGTTGGTTTGCATTATACACCTTAATTAGTTAGCCTGTTTAATAACTTACCTATTTATATTAGGAAATATTTTCTTTCCCAAGATAGAGTATTTTCCTAAGATAGAGCAGTGAGTTCTTAGGTTGAATAACAAGATAAGAGTAGTTTGCATTTTGGTGCTTTCTTGACTAATGTATATAGACTGCTATTGCTTTGTCTTAGCTTTTAATTTCTTGCATAAGGTTAGTTGGTGTTGTACTTTGTTATTTAGTTGACAGTCTAAGCAACGGTCTAATGAACATGTTTACTTTCTTGGAAGCTTATCGATGACAAAACATATAAAAATACAGACAAGTTGATCCCATGGCCTAAAGACACTGAAATAATTAGCGTGCAAGCTGCATTATCCTCAACCAGAAATTAAGTTTCAAAAGTTAAAATTAATAATTAAACAAATGTCTTACCTTCTCATCAGACTCACTGAACATCAGTTTCCATATTTTACAAACTAATTTACTTACTTCATGCATAGAATAATGGAGTGACTAATATTATTTGTTATATTATTATTTCTCCAAGTTTTCTACAGGTGAATACTTGTTGGGTCAGTGACAACATAAAATTAATACGTGACACGAGTCCTTATGGAAAACAACATGTAGCAACTACCGCAAGAATTATAATATGTCACCAAACGCGGCAATGAAATGTCGCAGCTGCCAACAAGATTCCCACGTTGAAGCAAGGTACAAATAATTCACTCTACTCATCTTACAGTTACAAGAAAATATAAAAAACTAATAGTTTCATACTTTCATGTATCAATTCTTTTCAATTATTAGGTGTTGGTTGCCAGTTGCAATTCAAGATGAATCAGGAAACATACATGCAATGATCTACGGCCATGATGCTTGATACTGAAAAAATTATCCCGTTTACTGGTGTTGAATCATATGAAGCAGAGCAAAAGGTTAGTAACATTGAGAACTTCAAACACTTCTGCCTATATAAAAAAAAATATTTTTGATCAGTTTTAAAAGATAACCAAATTATTCATTCACAATTATGATAAGAGAGGTGTAACAGACATTTACACAAAAGACCAAAATAATAAAGGTTAACTCATAAAATATAAATTTTATTCTGAAAGCAACCAATTCAATTTGTATTTAAATCAAATAACTAATTCACAATTTAGCATGCATACTAAATGAATCTACATATCCTCTTCAATCATCATGCTTCTGTTATATCAAAAAATTACTTAGTATGGCAATTTTTTTGTTCACTTGAATCATGATAAACTGAAAAATTGCTCCAATTGTATTGTAGCGCATGTGCTAAACAGTACTTATTTCTGATTGTTTTTAGAATAAAACTTGGTATGCCTACTCAATTTTGTTAACATACGCGTTTCCTATTTATAAACTTAATAAGTTCTAGCATAATTTTTTATTATTACTACCTGCATATGCACTGCTTGTGCATTCATATTCCTTTTGTGAAGAGCTAAATGAATTTAGTATCTATGATTCATAAAATTTAGTTCAAAAAGATATTGTTTCTTTTAAGAATGAATATAATGCACTTACATTTGGTATTTAATACAAGGGGGAATTAGAGTGCAAGAATTGCACGGTCAATGGACAATTGCCATGTTATCTGTTTCATTAAGCACTACGAATCACTACATCATACAATTATGAAACTGTATATACTGCTTACAACATGTGCATTGAAAAGAATTTGGTTGTTTTACAGGATTTGATCGAAGAACAACCGTCTGAAAAAGCTTCCGCCGCTTCGTCGTCAACCACTTCTTCTCTGACAACCACAGCACTCTCAGCACAAACTTGATCAAACTCAACTCAGCCTACTCTTGAACCTAATCCCGAACCTGCTGCAAGTCCTACCAAGAAAAGTTGCCCTAAGATGGATTCAAACCTCCACATCTCTAATTTCTAACTTTTGATTCCGTTTAGATACATCAAATGATGGACACTCAATGTTTGTTTTGTGTACATATTTTGGCCTTGTATTTTGAACAAAAGTAGACAGAAACTAATGTTTTGTTTATATATCTGTAGTAGAATTATAAGTATCTATTTACATTTACTGATGCTTTTCAATGCTTTAGGACTCCGTAAAAGGAAAAAACTCAATGTGTTGTGCTACTTACTATGCTTTTTTGTGTATTGTAACTAACTACTATACTCCCATCATCTTTTGATCATCTAGCGCATATCTTTTATGTTTTGCATGCTTCATATAGTATTAAGTCCATAAACTTGGGCCGGCTGTGCCTTGCACAACTCTACCCTCCTAGTAAATATAAAAAAAAAAATAATTCTAAATACTGCTTGTTAGGCTAAACAAAATGAAAGAGGCGTAATTAAAAGGGGAACACATGAGGTGTAAGTGCCAAGGATGTGCCACGTGGCAACCATAAGAGTGATATAGATTATTAAATAATTAATTACTGAAATAAATAATTATCAAATAATTCATTACATATTAACAAATTTATAATATTTATTTAGTAAAAACAAAAAACAATCGCATAAAAATGAAATTGAAATTTAATAATATATATATATATATATAGTCGCCTAAAATCCGAATTAGTGGCCAAAATAGACCATTTTGGGTAGGAAGACCGAGAAGAGTAAAACACAAGTGGGCATGGTGGGTGCAGAAACTTGTAAGAAACGTGGCCGTGAAAACACCTACCGACACAGAGGGAGGAACAAACCCTACATGGCGTTGCCCCATCGAGTACACTATAAAAGAGCGCGCCATTCATTCGCCAAGCACAATGCTTTTCATCACTCTCTTCTGCCAGAGAACTTTGTCAGAGGATAAGTTGATCGGTCAAGTGAGTTTTCCAGTGCTTTCTCTCTTTGTTAAAAAGGGAGCCTGGTCTAATACCACTATAGAGTACCCCGTGTCGGGAACAACGATTGGTAAACTCTATATATCCTTTAGTTTTGGTGAAATATTTATGGATCGAATTGAGCCTTCGTCGAGTTCATCCGATTGGGAGAAGAGGGCCGCCACTGCGGATGTGGTGTTGAAGGTGACTAAAGCAGCACTTGAAATAGTACAGCATGTGGTTAGTTAATAAGTATGATGATGGTGGATTGTTACGCTTTTATTCTGTAATTTTTGCTTTCATTTCCAAGAAATGATTCTATAATTCCAACATGTTTTAAGAAATTTTAGTCGACTGGCTTGGATGTAATGTTCATGCAACACATGTTCTGTACAAGTTCCTTGCTTGCTTATATGTATTACAATCGATTGATTGAGAAATAACCGAGGTAAAAAAGGTATTACTAGTAATAATAATAATAATAATATTCAAGGTAATAATTGCCAAGCCAACGTTTGTATCCCTTCGTACAGTAAAAACACAATCAACCAAGATACACTACCGATATCTACTTCCAATTCAATACATGATAGATACACACAAAAGGTTAAAATGAGCAAAAAAAACTATAAATTCTCTGAAAACTCAAGAAGACAACAAATAGTGTTAATTAAGAATAAACTGAGACAGAAAAAGAAGCCGGAGAGCAACATTTTATTTTATAAAACAACTAAATAAGCACAAATAAATAAATAAATAAAAATTATATAATTTTCAGAAAATTTAAGACCACTCGGACGGTTTCTTAACGTCACGTAGGTGGACTGAGTTTTCAAAGCAATGGAAAAAGCCAAAGTGAGGGAACCTCTCGTACCATGTGTCCTGCTGGATATGTGTGTCCCAGTGCTCGCCACTACTACTCTTTCCGTACTTGTGGACCCACCCAGACCCATTGTGGCCCTCCCCCCAAGTACGGTTCCAACGGTCACCGTATTTGCCCTCCCACCACGTCTCCCCTTGCTTAAGCCCACACCCATCCGCCCCAAAGTGTTCATCCCACTTGTCGCCCCACTTGGCCCAACCGTCCCCCTCGAAGCGCTCGGCCCATTTGTCCGTGTACTTTACGCTTCCACCTTGCCCGTCAAACTTCTCGCCCCATCTATTGTGAACGGTAATAAGTTAGAAGGGATTAATTTATTCCCAAACTTTTAACTTGAGGTTTCACCTAAATGTTTACAAGGAGTACCACTCGGATTATTATTTTTTTACCTGGGTTTACACCCATTCACAGTGGAAAAGTATTAAAAGATCCCATAACATTTTAACAAATATTGCAGTTGCCCACTAGTTTCAACACCAAATCAAACCTCCAGTGCACTTTTGCATTTTCAAACATAAATGGGTTTTATTGTAATCAGGTCATCCTCAAAGTGCACTCTCTCTAATTTACCCGACTTATCAAAGCACGAGGAATAACTAAAACGGGTATGCCATGGTAAGAGTGGAACTAGAAAACAAACTATAACTGCTATGCACACTGACTAAAGTAGGGTTACACCAGTACAAATGTACAAGTGTGTGTGAACTGGATAGTTGGAAAAGCTGGGCCTAACCTTTACCTAAATTGCAAAACACTAACCAGTTACTTCTGGAAAAACTATGATATTCACCTGATGGATTAAAAATAACCCTTGAGGTAATGTTATAATGACTTACTTTAGCAGTAGGGTGAACTTCATAAAGTATAGACAAATATAAGGGATTTTCGTAATCAGACTTATTTAGTTACTTGTATTTTGTTAATCGAGTTTTGGTTTGTGACTTTTTTGTTCATGACTGTTTAACTGCTTCTCGTCTTATACGTGGAAAAACGTAATCCATCCACCACATATTGGTGGATAATCATTCTTTTTTGTTTTCCTTTTCTGCTTTTTAGTATTGGCGAATGCTAGGGTCTGATTGTTTATAAAATATTTCATCCAAAATATTTCATTTTGGTTAACTATGGTTAAAGTTGAAAAAGTAGTGTGGTTAATTATTAGTGTAATTTAAAAAATATATTAAAATAATATTTAAAATAAAATGATTATAATTGATTTGATATAAAATAGGAGATAAATGATTGGAAATGATTGGTAGTTAAAATTATGTGAGTGGATGAATAGTGAATTAAAATTGATGTGATGTGTAAGAATGATTGGTTTGTATTGTTTAATTATATGTATAATATTAAAGATAGTGGGGTTGAGTTAAAGTTGAGTTAGATTTTGAGTTGAAATTTTTTGAGGTGAAATATTTTGTAAACAATCACCCCCTTAGTTTTTTAAAGTCAAGAAAGAATTAGATATAAATATGTATTAATGTGAGCATGCCCAAATAGATAGGTACCTTTCATGCCAAACGTGGGCGTGGCCCACCTCCAATGGAGTGTGTGGATCGATGCTGCACCACTTATGGGCCCACTTCTCGGCCTGGCCAGTTGCATCGTAATGCTCCCACCATTTCTCTTGCCATTCATCCCCTTGAATGTTCTTTCCCCACTTATCTGCCGTTTTCTCAAAATGGATAACCCCCTCTTTCTGCAGATCACAAGCCATTAGATTCAAATAAGCAAAGGACTGAGTGTATCGCAACATGAAGACCTTGTGAAATAACATGCCAGCTTTTCACAATACAACTCACAAAAAACAGTTCACTGTTGGAATAATTCTACTACCTTCTGAAATTTGTTGACATCTTATAGCCTATAGCCTAGAAATAGTTTCTGACTATTTATTTTTTGTTCGTAATGCAGGCAGAAATGTCATAAAGGTGTGGACTTTATATGAGCTTAATATGAAAAAAATACAATTGCACTTCAACTTCAATCGAAGTTTTCCAAGTACAAATCTGAAAAAGACACATAACAAGCAAGCATATAAAAATATTTTATACTTGCATTCCAAATTCTTTGGATTTCTAAAGGGAAATCCCTGTTAACCAAAAACTAATAATAATACAAAACATTAAACGAGGAAACCGTATATATATTCTACAATAAATATCTCACTCAAAACTCAAATTTAACTCAACTTCACTATCTTCAGTATTATCAATATAATTAAATAATATCAACCAATCATTATTACACGTCACATCATCTTTAATTCAGTATTCACCAACTCACACAATTTTAACTAACCATCACTTCCAATCATTTTCTCATGCTTTTACATCAAATGAACTTTAATTATTTCAATTTAAATATTATTTTAATAAATCCACTAACAACTAACCATACTACTTTTTTTTCAAACTTAATTATAGTTTAAAAAAAAACTAGTTTTTTACTAGTTGAATTCATATCCAATCACCCTAAGAAACTTGAAACATAAAATTTATAAGAAACACCCAAGAATTTGTTCCATCTTATACAGTTTACCCCATTAAGATTGAAAATAGTTCCACAACACCCCCTTACCATTATAATTATACGCCATACAATAAAAAACGCATCAAACCTCAGGTCTAATTTCAAAACCTTCGCAGGCCTTTCCAAAAAACTACAAACCTCAGGGTATATGCAATCATAGAAAAATCAGGGATAATTACAAGAATACCTCCTTGAGCTTTGCTCTAATTAACAAAACGAAAGAAACAGAAAAAGAAGAAGAAAGAAAAAAGCTAACTTACAGAATTAGGTTTCCAACTACTATTTTTTATAGATGCAATTGAGGATTGATTTTGCAAACGATGTGGTAACATAAGTCAAACAATAACTAAATAAAAATCCAAGCTCACATTTCCTATTTCCGAAAGTTACTCAGTGTTTCCTTTATTCGGCCAACGGCCAAACCTCAGTTGCACAGTCCACAATTATCTCCAAATACCAATTCATAACACACTAGCACAAGGAAAAAGAAAAACCAACCTCCATCATGGACTCCCTCCAGCACTCACGCCACACATTCCCAGTTGCATCCCGGCCTGATTTCTCTGAGCCTAACTCCTTATACCCGAACTCATCCGCTGCCTCCCAATACTTATTCTCCCACTCGACTGCCTCATCAGCACTAACCCCCCTCATCAGTGTCCACTTACAAAGGACCCCATCGGACCTCCGCTCCACCCCTGTCTCACTCCACCACCTTGATCCGTTCGGATTCACCCCTTCTATCAGATCCCCCTTCACTCTACTCAGGGCACCAGCCGCCTCAACTGCGTGGGCCGAAAAACGAATACCAATTTCGTTTTCCTCAATGGTATGGGTTGTCTCATGCGTGGAGTCAGTGAGTTTGGTTTTTTCCACTTCCACGAACGACTGAAGAGGGGGGAGTGGGGGTCCGTTCTTGCTGTCGAGCATCGAGGTCTCAAACGGTATTGGGAGGATATCTAAGCTCCGTTCATGCTCGAGCACAGGAATGGATTGGGGCGAGGAAGGAGAGGGTTGACGGGCTCGTTTTATCTCAGTCTCGATGGAGCTACGGTCATTGTCTGTCAGGCGAGGCGGGGCCCACGCCCAGAAGCTTGGGCCCGGTGTGCCAGTGGTTGATTGAGACGCGGGGTAAGAAACACTGTTCTGCGTGTCTAGAAAATGATGAAATATGCTGAAACACTTTATTTTATTTATTAAAAAAACTAAATGAATTCACTTGTTTGACAATAAGAGGAGTGAAATTCACCAAAATTCCTAAGACCCGAAAAAAGCAATGGACTTAAGAGTTTGTTAAACGAACTAACGCTGAATTGTCATCAGGTTATGTTTGTACCAATGATCAGGAAAATTTGAATGATCTTAAAGCTAAAACAAATATAAGCTTAAGGACACTAAAAACTAACCTAATCATTCATTATAAAAACTTCACGATGGAAACAATCTCATAATTTCCACATAACTTTCACATTACTTCAGATTTTCTCGGTAAGGAGTATAATAATAAAAAATAATTGGACTTTTCTAGGCTGATATAAGAAAAATGTCAGGTGCAGAATGGTTGAAACATCAACACAAGTAGAAATCATAAGCAGTCATTGTTTTCCTTTTAGATTCTGACTAAACAATGCAAGTAAGAAGAAGAAATGTTAATATAAGCAAACACTAAAAAGTGAATTATATTCTGTTTTTTCAGCTGAAAGCTGGGTATCACTTTCATATTATTTTATTTTATTTTTTGGTTAAATTGTATGTTTGGAGACACTAATTTTCAAATGAGGTTTATTACCATCACTACTTTTTTATTACTAGCTGCTGAACTGAACACGAGTGGTAA